AACCATGGGATTTTTAAATAGGATTCATTTATGAATGAATAGATGCGTGAACTCATCGTTGTTTTTGATACTAAATCCCCGCATATGTAATACATGATCCGCACGCGGAGCATGTATAAACAACGGCACTGCATGTTGCTCCCATCGCACTCGAGGACCACACATGCCAGATATGATCTCGAGAGCGCCCGGAGAAGAGTGCCGAAAGGGTGCCGACAGAGCGTCGAGACAGTGTCTCACAGGGCCCCCTCGAGCTTTGGGGGTACTTTTCGGGCGTTCGAAATTCTTTCCGGCGATCAAGGCCAAAGCAGGTTGGAACATCATAATCCTCGTCTTCTTAAGTCGGGCCTGTCCCCCTACAGGGGGATTTTCGACGAAAGATAAAAAAATACCCCACAAATAATCAACACATGGTCCAACAAGAACAGTCTGGGGACAATTTGTTTACTATCTTTCGACCTTCTTGGGGTACTGTTGGGATTTTTTTTATTCCTCGTCGAAAATCCCCCTGTAGGGGGGGGGACACGCCCGACATAAGCGCAGTAAGGTCCTGGGACACCGGGGGGTGGAGGGTACCCGGGGAACCCAGGGAATCCGGGGAGCCTCGGTGGAGCTGGCAAAGCAGGGTCCCGAGGCACCAAGGAAGAGTCCCTTGGGCAAGCCTCTCTGGGGGACAGAACAGACATCACGGAATGGCAGCGCAACGTGGAGCCCGACTCAATCCTCGTGCCCCGCACGTTCCTCGCGCCCGCTCCCCTCGCCACGGGCGCACGACGTGCCTCCCTCGCGCGGCGTGGCACCGCCTGGGTCACCCTTTTGGGGTATCTCTGGGGTGTTTTTTTTGTACTTCTCGTCGAGAGTCCCCCTGCAGGGGGACAGGCCCGACTTGATCCTCGTGCCCCGCACGCTCCTCGCGCCCGCTCCCCGCGCCACGAGCGCGACGACGCGCCTCCCTCCGCGCGCCGTGGCGGCGCCCGGGGGACCTCGCGCGCGCGGGCGCGCGGCCACGGAGCAGAGCCCGGAGGGGCCCGCGCGGCCTCCTCGGCTCCCTCGGGGCCCGGGGCGCCGACCTCCGAGACGTCCGCGCGGACCTCCGCACTCCCTGACCTTCTTCAAGGGCTCCCAACTTCGCGCTTCGCGCTGCGCGAAGCGCGAAGCGCGAATAACTTCGCGCTCTCGCGCCGCCCTCCCAAAGGGAGAATAGGAGGACGAGGAGGAGGGGGAGGAGAAACGAGGACCGCGAAGCGCGAAGCGCGAATAACTTCGCGCCCTCGGGGGAGCCCTTGTTCTTCCAGAGGGCTATCTTTTAGCACTGGAGACCAACAAAGACCTAAAAAACGAGACGAAGCGGCCTGAAACCAAAGACGGTAGAACAGCTCTGGGACAGGCTTTGAAGTCGCGCGCTGTTTTTCAGCCCTCCTGGAAGGTCAGGGCTGCTGCGCGCACGCCGCTGCTCGCTCCCCTGGACGCCCGCCTTACACTCAATCCGAGGCGCGCCCCCCCGCGGCTCCCCGAGCAGGCTCGGGGGGGGGGGGGCCCAAGGGCCGGAGGCCCCCCTGCGCCCTCCGTGCCAGGCCCGCCCCGGCGGCCCTCCCCGCTCGCTCCTCTGGACGCCCGAGATGGGTACGGAAAGAGAGGGCACAATGCCCAACGACAAGTGTTGTCCCAAAGCAGCAGCGGCCGCCGTTGGGTAGGCGGCCTGCTGTCTCGAGTGGACACAGGCCGCGGCGGCGCGGACAACGAGTCCTGTTCAAAATGAACAGGAACTGCTGTTGAGCATTTTACCCATTCTTTCCGTGCCCATCTCGTTCGTGCTGAGTTCCCCCAACGTTGGAGGCCTCCCAAGTCGGGCCGGCGTAGACGAGGCTCGTCGACGAGCCGGGGGGGGGGTGGTGAAAGAAGGGGCGGGCCTTCTCAGAAGGCTCAGAAGTCCCTCGGCCTTCTGAGAAGTTTGTCCGGCGCTGCCTCACCGAAAACACCGGAGAGCTTCTCAGAAGGCCATCTGGGCTTCTGAGAAGCCCCGCCGCCTTCTGAGGAGTTCTACTTCTCACTTCCCCCCTCGCTCGCCGCCGAGATGGAAGGATCGCGGCGCATCGCCGATGCATCGGCGACGTCAGTGACTCCACATCGAGCCGCATAGCAGATGCATCGGCGAGGCGGCGCGATCCCTCGACCTCATCTACCCGCCACTCGGAAGAAGTATGCGGAATTATGAAGTGGGACGGCGGATAGAGTGCATGGGGTTCGGGCCAGCCCAGAGAATGGCAAACCACACCGAAGGCAGATCGATTCTTGAAGTATGAAAGCGCTTGAAATGGATTGATTGAAACCTGGGAATCCAGAAATACCTACTTTCAACGAACGGCGTGCACCTTGG